AAATATAAAACTTGGCACATAATTGTTCTAGGTCCTCATGATGTGCACTACGAAGAGTTTTTTTCGAAATTCCCTTCAGATTTTTTTAAATTAAATTTTTAAGTGATTTTTCAAATTTTTTTTTCAACAACTGGGTTTTTAGTTAGTTGTTTTGGCAACAGTCTCATTTGTTTTGCTTATCCATTTGATTATTCCGAACCATTTTTACATTCAACGTATTTTATCCTTTTTCGTAATTTCAAAAAAAAAGATGTAATTTAATTAATGTTATAATTTCTACTATATTCTATATAAGTTACTTCATATTTATTTCTTTATTTTGTTCATGTTTAAATTTTTTATATTTAAAAATTTCCTTCAAAATTAGGGCTTAATTTTTCTTTTTTAGATAACCCTTTGATTTAAATTATTTTTTTCAACATCAATCTGTTTTATATAGTTTTTTTATTTTGGTTCTTACTAATTTAATTTTTTTACTATTGTATTACATCTAAATTTTATATTAAATGCAATATAGATGCTAGACAGAATATCATCCTTTCGTCGTATAATATTAATTTAATGCTTTATTACAAAGTAGGCTTATTTTATCTATTTTTTAAAATTTTAGTTCTTACTAATTTTATTTTTTTCCAGTTGAAGGCTTCCTAATATATGTATATTTTAGGAAAATGGTTTTTATGACATATGTTTTTCTTTTAACTTATCTATTTCAGATTATTTTACTCATAGTTCCCATAGCAGAAACATACTACTATTATTACTTTTCTGTTATAATTTGTATTTATATTTTCATTTTTTTATTTCTATTTACCTTTTTAGCATGTTAATTTTCTCTTTTGCATTCATATATATGTTTTTGTGAAATCATTCTTTTCTGTGAAGCGAAATTGCAATATGAACACTCATTAAAAATTTATTTTTAAATTTTGGGTACACTGCTCTGCAATGGCTCTACCCTCTTTAAAATATATTATGTTTGCAAAAAAAGCTCAATTTTATTCATTGCACTATAGGGACACAATGAACGATTTTTCTTTTTATATATGCTGTTGGACTACTATTTTTGTTTGTTTCTCTGATTTGATTCTCTTTTGACCATTAGCTGCTGCACCTATGGCCTTTCCCTGGAAGTTAGTTTTCACTGTGTAATCAATAGAAAATAAAGGTACACACATTAATTTATCATGTAACTATTTAAATTGCGATGCACCAAATCATTGATGAATTACACGTATTTTTATTCAACATCGTCTATATATGTTGTGCGTTTCAGCGGTACCGGCATAACTAAGAAACCCAGAAGTCTGAAACCTGGCATGTAGAAGCTGTAGGTCATTATCCTGAACACCTCAAAGAGTTTTTTTTCGAGATTCGTTTTAGATTTTTTTAAAATTCAATTTTTAAGCGATTTTTCAGCTAAATGGAGATATGATGTCATCAAACGTGTCAAGTCAACTTTGCGAAAATTAATGTTAAGAGCAGTTTCTTGGGGTATTTTAGCGCATTTTATTGTTAATATATTTATTTATAGTTTTTTTTAACTCATTGTGGTGGAATTACATTTTTTTTTCGAAAAAGTTGTTTTAAAAAAATGTTCTTTCTAAATTTCATTTTTTGGATTTGCAACACAAATATAATAACATTAGATTTCCCATGCCTTAGGATATGAATTGTTTTGTATTAAATTAATACTATAATTTCTATTTTAGTGTCACACAGTTTTATGTTTGTTTATTTTCTAAACTGTAATTTTTTCTTGCGTATTGTAGTTTAAATTATATGATACCGTGACTCAAGTTCTTAAGTCAAAAAATGATTTGTGAAGCTTTTTGTAAACATAAGCTTAGATAATGTGGTACTTATGTATTAGCGTCACCACAGGAAAGTTGGCGCCATGCGAATCACACCTTGATACCATTTGGCTGCAGCGACGAGTATACGTAAGTACGGATAATAATTACTTATTTTTTAACACAAATATCAGTGGATTATTTTAGACAATGAAATTCACTTCTTACCTGCTTTTATTCTTATGTTAAAAAATAATAATCTGTTACAAAAAACTTAATTGCTTTCCTTTGTTCAACGACAAATTCTAAATCTTGCTTATTGTAACAATAAAGTGGAAAATCCTAGCTAGCAGTATAACAAAAAGAGTGACAAATTAAACTAATGGAAAAACAGGTTATTGCTGAAATAAAACCCTTTTTTCAAAAGAATTCATTAACGCAGTACTTTTTTTTTAAAAAAAAGAAGTTACCGATGAGTGAAATTTGGAAATTTTAACTTAAAGTTAATCCCTTAAAAAATTTAAACTTTAATAAAAACATTTGCAAACACAAGTTTATTCTAAGTGAAGATCAAAGCTACTAACTTGGAGAGTTATTTTGAATGTTCACATTGGGGTGCGATAAAACGGAAGTACCAACATTTCCTTCCATTGAAAAAGAAAAAGGTTACTGTTTTCCTGATGCATGTTTTTTATCACCGCAGCCAAACTGGCACTTTTTTTCACAAAAATTTGATTGATTTTTTTTTCTTTTTCATATAAAACACATAAGAATCTATTGCTTTGATGTAGCAAATTTTGCTGAGGTGACGCCGATACGTAAGTACCCTTTTCCTCTATTGTCAAATTCCATTGTAACAAAAAAGTAGAAAAATGTAACTGAAAGAATATTGCCAATATTGTGTGATTTAAGTTAATTTTTTTTTTTTTTACGTACAAGATTTTTTACATGTTTTTTTTTTTTTTTTTGTATTATCAATCCAGGGTTGTGCTTGGGCTACAATTTACCTGATTTTGATATCAAGGTAGTAAGCCTCAAAGTATGTAAAGCTTGAAATTAAATCATTGCCTGAATATTGGTACACTTTAGCGTTACATCTTACCTACTTCCAACCTAATAGCGTGACAGTTTGGTCTGGAAAAGAGCTTATTGCTCTTCTTTTATTGGTTAATTCCATGTTTCATCAGTTGCAAAATAGTTCAAAATTATAGCTGACTCGCCATTATCTACCCGCTTCATTGTGTATTTCATGATGTTGTATAAATAAATACTGTTTACATATTCATAAATTTTTGATATCTAGCATTAAGAATTTGATTATATTGAAAATATATTCATAGCTGTAACTCTCGCCTCTTGATATAAAAAGGTCAGAATTAAGAGAATTTCTAATAATATCTAAAATATAGAAGTAGAAAGATTTTTTTGCGCTCGCTTAACCCAATAGTCAAGTGAATTTCCACAAAAGGAACTTTAAATGGATCTCTACTTCGTAAAATAAATATATGTGCTAAATTTCAAGTCTAAATCTAATAGAGCCCAAACGGAATTTTTAACATCAATTCCACCGGAACATTCTTGGCGGATTTCAATTCAACAAAAGAAACATGCAAACTAAATTTTATTATTATGGTCCAGAAGAGATAAACGTATTTATTTTGATATAAGGACCAATTTGTTACTACCAAACGTGCATATTAAAATCATTAAAAAAATGTGTGTAGAAAAATTTATTTATTACTATATTCTCTTTTTGTTATATTGCTAGCTAGGATTTTCAACTTTATTGTTACAATAAACAAGATTTAGAATTTGTCGTTGAACAAAGAAAAGCAATAAAGTTTTTTGTAACAGATTATTATTATCTATGGACATAAGAATAAAATCAGTTAAGAAGTGAATTTCATTGTCTAAAATAATACACTGATATTTGTGTTAAAGAATAAGTAATTATTATCAGTATTTACGTATCATCGTCACCACAGCCAAATTTACGCCTCATCAATCGCGCCATTTTCCACCAAAATCTCACTGATTTTATATAAAATATGTTAGAATCGTTGTTGCTTTGGTATCAAGGTGGGATTCGCATGGCACCAACTTTGCTGTGGTGATGCTAATACATAATTACCACATTATCTAAGCTTCTATTTACAAAAAGCTTCACAAATCATTTTTTGACTTAAAAACGTGAGTCACGGTATCATATAATTAAAGCCACAATAAGCAGGAAAAAATTATATTATTATATAAGCTATATTATTGTAAAGTTTCATTAAATCCGTTCAGTTGTTTTTGCATGAAAGAGTAACAAACATCCATACATACAAACTTTTGCAATTATAATATTAGGATAACAAAAAGAAAATGGAACTCAATGCAAAACTTTTTGGGATTATAAGATTGTAGATATTGTGATTTAAGTTAGATTTTTAGGTATTAACCTATTAGTGTCTGTCGTCGAGAATTCAATGGAGAGCAAGAGGACTGTAACGTTGGTTTTAATGTTCTATCTGATAAATGAAGATATTGTGAATTCAAGCACATTTAAAAAGTTTAAGACGGTTAAAAACTATGCCAGAAATAACTGGAAGAGCGGATAGAAAGGGGTCGAATGAGCCAGGTCCGAATGGACTGTGAGGCTCGGGTGCCGAGATATTGGCCAAAAAGCTGTAGATGGAAGGGAATGCACAGGGGGATGCGTCCCAACTGACATGGTTAAAGCAATAGTTATTATGATCCAAAAATATCAGTCCCATAGCACTCACAAAGTGGCATGTTAAAATATTAGACAACGGTGTGCGCGTGCATAGTAAAAAATTACCATCATTCTTTTTCCCTAACTCCCAAAAATAAGTATACCTTCAAAAATAAATATACAAATACAAAAGTCTCTTATAATTTGTTACAATGTAATAAATGTGTTTATATTCATCGCAATGCGTTCGTAGTAAATACATATATAATCATATACTTGCAATTGTTTTTTAAATAGGTAAACTAATATTTATACTCTTATGTTTTATGTACATGAAACACAATTTAAAGATTAATTTACTATTTTTTTAAATTTCCTGTAAGTATGTTTAATATAATAACAGAAAGTGTTCAAACAAATGCATCAGAGAAGCTCCGTAGGCGAAGGACGGTCTACTCCTTGTAGTAGTGATGTCACAAATCAGTGCGAAGCAAAGGTCCGCTGACACAGGGAGTATGGCTCAGTGGAAGAGCATTTGACTGCTAATCGAAAGGTCCCCGATTCAAACCCGGGTGTTCTCTTCTTCAGGGAAGTGAAGAGGAATATTTTTTTTGAGAATTTCGAAGGCGGGAATGATCCGTCCCGCTCTGTATATTTCTAGACAAAGCATTTTCGTATCCGTTCCTACGGAACGCATAGCAAAGGTTCGTTGACGCAGGTGTATAGCCAGCGCCTCCTAGATACAAGGCCTGGCCACTGATTTGTAACGTCACTACTAGTAGGGAGAGATCGTCCATCGCCTACGGAGTTTCTCTGATGCATTTTTTTAAATACATTTGTTATTAAACTAATTATACACTTTTTTTTACAGGAGATTAAAAAAAATTAGTAAATTAATCATTAAATTGTATTTTATGTACATAAATCATGAGTAAATATTATTTTTCCTATTTAAATAATAATTGAAAGTATATGATTATTAACTACAAGCGCATTGCGTTGAACATAAACACCTTGCATTGCAGCAAATTATAAGAGCCTTTTGTATTCGTATATTTCTTGTTTTACATAACTATCATTATTTCTTAATTTTAAAATAAAATAAAATTAGAATTAGTTTTCAAAACAAAAAACGACATGCAAATTTAAAAGCAGTAACTTTATTGGTATCGCACATCAAGTAGTATTAAATAAATTTCAAATATATTTGTAGATAAATCTACACCTCTATAATTATAGATATATACAGGAAAATAAATATATACTTAAAAATAGATTACACAGTTTATTCAGCTGTTTGTCTGTCACTTTTCTTTCCTTAAATTTTTAGTACTTTTTCTCTCAAGAGTAGTTAAATGTGTTTTAAAACTTGATTGGTATCAAATTAATAAACAAAAGTTTGCTGTCTGCTTAACAGCAGGAAAAATTACCATTACTAATTTGACAAAAAATTTTTTTGTTAAACCCATACCTATATGATTACAGATACATACATGAAATTAAATATGTACACGGATACAGATTACAGTTTATTTAGCTGTTTGTCAGTTACTTTGCATTGCTTAAAATGTTTCTATATTTTCCCTCCAACAATAGTTATTCAATTATGCATTGTTACAAATGCAAGTTAAATGTTTTAAACTATTGGTATCATGCACAGTAATAAAAAAAATTCACTCTTTGCAATAGCAGCATTAAAAATTACCAAAAAATAAAGTTCCTATAAATAACAATATAACAAGTTATCGTAAAATAAGTTATAATACGCCCATGCCTAAAAATGTAATTCATTTAGTTAATAAAGTAGGTATTTTTTTCGAGCAAATCAAAAGAAAAAAAAGGACACACAAATTTAAAAACAGTAACTTTATTGGTATCAAATACAATCACAACGTTAAGAAATATTAAATAAATTTCAAATATATTTTAGAGAAAAATCTATACTATAAAATTATAGATATATACAGGAAAATAAGTACATACATAAAAAGAGATTACACAATTTATTTAAATGTTGTCACAGTTACTTTTCTTTCATTAAATCGTTGGTACTTTTTCTCCCAAAAGTACTTATTCAGTTATACGTTGTTACCAAAGGGAATCAAATGTGTTGTAAAACTTCATTAGTACCATGCACAGTAATAAACAAAAGTTTACACACACACACACTCTTTGCAATAACAAGCATTAAAAATTATCAAACCTAAAGTTCCTACAAATGGCAATATGACAAGTTATCGTAAAGTAAGTTAAGAATATTTTTTAAATAAATCATACATGTATAAAAGCAGATACACACCTAAAAATAAATATATATATATATAGAAAAATAATGCACCCACATACATAAAAATAATGTACTTTATTTAGCTAATAAAGTATGTATTTTTCTTTTCTTCGTTTCAACTTTTTTAATATCATTTTTTCCTTACAGTAGTTATTTAATAATGCATTTGTAGAAGTGAGGATAATATGCTTTAAAACTAGCTCAGAAGAATGATCATTGTTACAAGGTTCATCATATAAAAAAAATTCATTTGAATTTATCAAGCTAATCGATATTTCTGAAGCAATTTGACGTTGATTATTTTGTTTAAGAAACATATTTTCATAATCATTAGAAAGAAGTTTCTGAACTATTATGTAGTTGTAGAGCACTATTGTAACAACATCTGGAGAAGGGCACAATAAACTTCCTCTGTCTAAGTTAAGTATTAAATCATAGTTAGAATTTAGTTCAAAAGATTTATTAAGAACAAGTGATTTGGAACAAAAGCCGCACTTTAATTTTTTAAGTGCTACTCTAGCACAAACACCAGCTAAATACGTTAAAACAGGTAGATACAGCTGAGCATCACGAAAATCTTTTTCAGGTAGTGTAATATTAAAATTATGCAATACAGATGACTCTAAAGGATTTTCATTACACGAATCTTCCAAATGAATGTCTTTTAACCCTCCAACTGGACAGCACGGATTTTTCCGCCCTACTAGAGAGGCTTCGAAAACGGACCACACTGAATTTTTCCTAAAGCCGGGGACTCACCAAAAATGAACCAAACAGATTTTTCCCCCTCAAGTAATGTGTTCAAAACCGGTAAGGTCGTATTTTTCCGAATTCTTTTCCCCCTTTAAAGGTTTACGATCTTGAAAGATAATTAGAGACGGTCGGGGAGACATAATGGGCATTGAGTGGAAATTTTATGGCTCACGGGGAGACCGGTTCCTGTGGCAATCGTAAAATCTTCAACCTAAAGTTTACACAAATAGCGAGTCAACGAGTTGAGAATTCTCATTTTTTTCTTTACCTTAAAATTCTCAAATGGAATTAAGTTTTTATAATGTATGTCTAAGTTTTTAAAAAATATCTGTAGTATTTAAATTCAAATTATATATTAAAACATTGAGGATAATTTACTGTTTCATTTTTCTTATTTTAATCAATACTTTCAGGGATTTTTTTTAAAAATGATTATTTTGTTATGTGTCAAAAAATAAAAAAAAAAGGTTCAAAATTTAAAATCTTTTAAAATTTCGGACACTTCTAAACATGAATAATTTTTAAGCTTCTGAATTACATTATTTGCAAAAAATTTATATGTATTGTTAAAAAAAACCCTATTTAAATCTTTTAGTTTATCATAATTTAAAGCCAGATATTCAGGGCATCTTACATAGAATCCCTTGTTTTGTATTGTTCAGATAACAAATTATATTTGAATTTTAAATGTCTGAACATTAATTTCACTCAAAGAGAACTTTAACTTCAAGTTTCTATTTTTTAACTTGAATCTTCATATAAAGAGTATTTAAAAGCATCTGGACAAATTTACAGTTAACATTTGCGCAAATAAATAAATATAAAGATCCTTTTTCAATTCAAGTTAAAAAAATATATATTTATGCAAAATGCGCCTCATCATTCATGTTCCATTAGTGGTTGACTGAAGAAAAGGTTATTAAAATTTGGACATTTTTATAATCTTAACCATGCAAAACTAGGAATTTTGTATTAGCTCCACTAAAATTCTGCATTGGAATTTCGAAAAAGATATTTATGCGTGTCTCACATACTCAGTTGAAAAACATATATTTACCATAAATACTAATAATTCTTTGGATATTTAAAATTATCATTAGATTAATTTTTTAATATATATATATATATATTCGACTTCTAATATTTTTTCAAGTATTCCTTAAATTTCATATCATTTAATTAAGTGAGGGGATATTAAAGTCGCACTCTCTCTCTTCTCTACACAACTACCTGAGGGCTTTTGGCGACGGACCTGTGGCCGGGGTATCAGGTGGTCAAGGTATCGAATCATGGTTGGCATGTCTCGAGTTCGAGCCCAGTGCCACAAAAGACCCGCCGTGTAGGGCAGCGATTGAAATGTCCTCTCGTTGGTGTGGTGTGGTAGTTAGGAGAGGGGGTGCTATCTCAGGTGTCACCCTCGTCATTTGACCATTTTTCAAAATTACGAGGTCCATCACTAAAAGCCCTCGTGTAGCTGAACAGTGCGACAATAATATTCACTCACTTGGCGACGGACCTCGTTGTTTTAATCCATGGTCAAGTGACGAGGATGACGCTTGAGCATCGCTCCCTTACACGGAGGATTTTCAGTGGTGCTGGGGTCGAACTCATGACACGTCAGCTACGAGTCCTTTACTTTGACCATTAGGCTACCGCGGCCTCACAATGTGGTTGAAAACTGCACGTTATGAGTAAAAATATGCTGAAACATTTGATGAACTTATAATAGATTTTTGCATAGAAGATAGATGTGTGATATGTTAAAATGACAATATGTAAAAGTTATGAGAATATCGATGACAATTTTTGAAAAATTCAATTTAAGTTTCTGTTTGAAACTTATTCGGTTTTTTTCCGCATTTAATATTAAATAGTCGCGATAACAAATTAATAGTTTAACGCATTCATAGATTATAAAAAATAAAGATATAAATGACATTGTTGGGAATGATATGTTTTTATAGTTTTGAATTCAGACTTCTTTGCAGGAGTGCAGACTATTAAAAGGCTGATGTAGAAGTTAGAAAAATAATATTTCAAATATATGGAAAACAATATCTGCAATTCCATGATCTTGACGAGCAGAAGACGGCATTTTTTTTTAGTAGGGCAGAGTAAGCATAAGGTAGGAGCTTGTGGAGTAAACAACCAGGCCTCTGCAGATTTGGCAGGTAATGAACTCCCATTTGTTGCTTTCAGTAAGGAATATAAAAAGAACAAATACAAAAATTCAGTCATGTAAAATTTTATATATTTTAATAACAATGAATTGTGAACTTAATTTCCAATTCTTTGTCACGAGTTGGCAGTAACTACGGTACTCTATCGACGTACTTCTTGTATATATATATATATATATATATATATATATATATATATATATATAAAAGAAGTACGGTTGATAGAGTACCAATAATTTTAACGCAATTTTATATTTCGTTCTCGTAAACTTTACTCCTTTTAAAACATGTATTGACAAAATACTTTCCTTTTGTATATTTATAAATTTTAAAAATATAATGGTTATCTTACCCAACATTT